AAATTTATGTAGATTTTTTTAATGAAATTGATTTTCTATGATTATAATTATTCATCATTTAATATGTGTTTTGTAGATGTTTGGTGTGGAATATGTTACATGCTAGATGTTCATTTTGTTTGATCAGCGGCAAAGAATTGCTCAACAAAATGAACTCGATCTGTCGGGAATCAAATATTCGACAAAATTACTGAAATCAAACAATCAACATGAACGTATCGAGCATCGACAAATCTTTCAAGACCTTATATGTTAAAAAATGACTAGTTTTTTTTGTTCAATTTTAATCTAGTATAATACATAATTAGAAGTTTGTTGGTTTAGTTGTTGACATTAACACATTGTAAAATATACTCTTGTTAATTTTCTGGATCAAAGTTATTCATTATGTTGTGCGTTATTCATCCTCTAATGATATACTATTCATTCATTAAAGTATAATTATTCATCTAGTAAAACTACATACATTCTTCATTTTAGTATTGTTATTCATCTTGGAAGGGGTCATTATTCATCAAGATTTGCACCGTTATTCATCTTGTGAATATCATTATTTATTTCAAAAGTTAAATTTACTCATCCATAACTTTGACACTATAAGAACACCATTATTTATCAACAATATTATCATTATTTGTCAATAAGCATATCATGACCCAAAATTTTGACGTGTTTAATACTAAGTAAATTGATGTAGATATTCATATGTAAATTGACGTGGCTAGTAGAATGAAAATTTATCTAGTAATTCAAACATAGGAATATGATATAGTGGAGAAAATGTGAATACATTAACGTGAGTTAAAACTAGGATAATGTTAATTTAGGAGTGTGGATCGATATTTGATTAAATTATGTAGCAATAATAAATTTTAAGTCTCTAGGGATTAATCTTGAAATACCGAATAGATGAAGTAGATAAGAACAGATGAGATTAATTAATTTAGGATTCTATCATTAGACATTTAATGTTATTTGTAACAATAATATTGACTAATTGCTAATATATGTACGATAGTAGCGTAACTTGGGGGCAAAGCTTCTCACATATTCTTTAATTTAATTAGTTTTCTTCACTGGAAATATTTAGAGGCATACAACATATACTTCCATTTCACTAGAAATTAAAAATAAATTGGAGCACTAGAAATAGAAGTAAAGAAAGAGGAAGACTAGGTCGATCACCAGCCCCACACAGAAAATTCTACATATTTGACCTCTTGAAATATTTTGCGGTCAAATATGAATGTGAAGGTAGTACTATGTTGGAGAAAAACATCAACCACTTCTTTGTATTAAAGTACAAAGAAGATAAAGTACCCAGAGCTTTTTCACGAATCTGGTACTAATCTAAGTGTTAGTTTTATATACGTGATACTAGTGCATTCAATTGGAGACTTTCTTTTAAATTATTTTCGTTTCATGGAAGTAATTGGAAGTACAGTTTGTACTTTCATTCTTGATAAATATTACGTGAATGGAATGTATATTAGGCACATGGTTAGTAAAAAAAAAATGCAGTCATGATTAGGCCTTGGGTTTTAAAACGGGATAAACTAGTAAGTTTTAAATGATGAAAATAAGGAGGCTCTAGACTTATAGACTAACACTAGGATAAATACAAGTTTGAGGTGTCCATTTTTTAGACCACTTTGTTAGACTTCTATGCAAGTAAATCATAGGAAGTAAGCTAAGACTAATAACAATAATAAAACTTTACTTGTTACCGCCTAGTGAAACCTTCGTCAGACTCATTAATATATAAACAGGGAGGGGGAAATAACGAGTAGATAGGAGAGCTTAGGGAGGTAGAAAAAAAAAAGAAGAAGAAAAGAGAGAGTGAGGGAGAGGGAAAGCGAAGGGGCAGGAACCGAAGAAGAAGTAGCTCGTTTCGGTTTCGATTTCGCGCGTTCTTGTGCTCCATTACGGTGTAAATAGATAATTTCCCACACTCTCTTTTATTGAAAGATAGTTGATGCTGGCATGTTCTTTCTTTTAGTCGTGGATTTAAGTTGATATGGAAAGCATGAAGACCACTCGATGAGAATAATGACTTGAGTAGTAGAATATAACTAGTTGGGGGTTTGAATTTAGCCGAGAGCTAGATGAGTTTATATTAATTCTGGAACTCTAGGAGATGAAGTAGACTATAGAATTTGGATAGTAGAGTTGGTTAGTCTTGGCTTTAAGAACAAGAAGTGAACAACCGAAGGTGACAATAGCTTTGAACGACAACCGAAGTTGAACGACGGAAAGGGGGCTATTGGGAACTAATTCTTCCTTTGGTTGTAGAAGAGAAAGCATCCAAGTTTTATGTCCCTCACTGCTCCAGCCACCTTATGGAATAAGAAGAAAAATAAATAATAATAATATGTACGTTTGAAAATTTCAGAATCGAGCCCAACTAAAGACACCAAAGTCGACCTTTAATTGTAACAATTAGACGGCCACCTCTACATAGGTTCTTACTATTAATCTTGGAACCAATTGAGCCTAAGAAAACTATCTTCAGTTTAGCATGCCTCAAGCTTTGGTGGCCAGATTAAAAGGTTTTATTGGAATGAATATATATATAGAGAGAAAATATGTGAGTCTTATACTCTCCCCTGAACCTAGACTCACGTTCAAAAAAAAAAAAAAAGAAAAAAAAAACTTCACAAGGAAGACCAGTAGCTACATGAATAAGGTGGGAACTAGCTTGATTAACCAAAGAAAAAAAAAGTAAACGCATAAAAGTAAAGAAAGTTAGGTAAAACAAAACTAAATTAAAGTTTACGTAGATATACATATATGTGTATATAGATCAAAAGAAAGAATCTTACATATAATAATTAATTAAAGTGATAAGAAATAAAAGATAATAATAATAATAAAATTAAACAATTAAATTATGAATATATTAACAATAATAATAAACAACTAGACTACTAAGATAATGATAGTAATAATAATAACCGTAGTAACTAAAGTATTGGTTATAAGTAGATTTAATTATGAACTAGATAATAACCTTACCTATTAAGTTAGTAAGTCCATCATACAGTACATGTTTACCAATTAAAATTACGTTGTTGGAAACGTTTACATGCAGACTAAGTGAACGAGAAAACTGATCAGCTCGGCAAAGCCGGTGAGTAATTCTCACTCTTTTAAAAACTGGGAGTATGAGAATATATATTTAAAAGTCACTACACACATGAACACATTTTAAATGTTATTAAAATATTAAATGCATATCGTTAGATGACCCGGAGGCGTACTTTATCACCCCGGGTTATATGTTCTATGTGGCTTCTAAGTGTTATTCTATCTGAGACAAAATGATATCGTTATGTGATCGAACGTACTTGATTGAACATGATCGTCGAATGTGTTTCTTCTAGTGGTGTACTTTATCACTCTAGGAAAACTATTGTTGTGATTGATTGATTGATGTGAAATAATGTGTGATTGTTGCTTCGGTGGACCCTGTTCACTTGGAGCCTGGGCCTTGCCTTTGCTAGGCAAAGACTTGCGGGCTGGCATCGGGCTTGGTCGCCAGGTTAGCTTACCTAGGCTATTGTTGTCCGGATGGACGTGGTGCTCATGAGTATCAATCGGTGGCCACAGGTGTTGAGGAGGGATTGTTATTGATATGGAATTGTTGTCTGGATGGACGCTATCGTATTGTTGAAATCTGGCTTGGGGTCCGTCTCTGTACCACGTAGGCTCTTTGACGGCCCTTGCTAAGGTTTCCCCGTATCCACCCCTTGTTAAATGACCAATGTAAAATGTTTGATTGTTGCATGTTAAATTTTGTTTATGAAATTATTTTACAGTTGAATAACGTTTTTGTTTTTCAAATTGATTTATTAAAAGTATCGTCGTAGTACATATAGTGGGAACTTCACTGAGCTTGGCGCTCACCCCCTTTTTATATTTTACTCCCTATCCCACTCCCAGGATCGAGAGAGATGGAAATCTAGTACAAGACAAAAGACCGATTTACAAGGCGACGCTCGTTCGAAAGAACGTAAATAATTTGTGATATTTCGCATGTGAAATATAATCCTTTCGGGTTTGTAGTTTGGTGAACAATAACTCGGGTTGGAGTTTTGTATTAACTCTTGAATTTTACGTTCGTATGTGATATAAGATTTGCGGGTTTGGTTATCGACTGTTTATCGAATCCTGGCGCGAGCCAGGTGGACATCCTAATTGGCCCATTCGTATATATGTTCCAGAGTGGTGCTGGTCGGGCGGTCACAAAGCATACCATTATTCATCCAAACAAACACCGTTATCTATTAAAATCTTTCATATTCAATTTTACTAACTTTGATAAATATTTTATATGTCATCAATTTCAAAATCGAAAATTGACTTTAGTATAATTTATATCATCGAATTTAAATAGATCTAAATAGCAAAAAAAAAAAAAAATTAGATGAAGATACAACAATAAATAAAAAAAAACTCGAATGAAATAAATTGTATAAAAAAAGAACGGGATAAGGCAAAAAAATTAAAATTAAATATGTGCTGAAAAAAAAAGGGATAAGAATCATGTGTTTAATTAATAAAAAATCCACGTGAATGGTTTAATTTATGAGAGTTTAAATGCGCAAGTAGAGCCATGAAAATAGAAGGAAATTCCCCCCTTATTTTTTGTCAAAATTGAAACACACGCACCACCTCCTAGGTATACGGTGCAAGGTATACCTAAGAATTTGATATTATTTGCCAGATAAGGTTGGTTATTTTTTATTTTATTTTTTTTGGAGTAGTTAAAATGAGGTTAAGAATGCGGTAACTATATCACAACTCTATCTATTTTTCCCCATCTTAATTACTGGACTAAAAATATGGTCCAAAATGATACCTCCATTCTGCCTGGCGAGCCCAAATTAATGTTGCAAAAGTAAGCCTAATACCACAGTCTCTATCGCTTCCTCCCTAAAAACAAGTCATAACGTATCCAATGTACGTTTCTTCAACAGGAATGCATTATGGAATTGAAATGTATATTTTTGAAATTTAATTTTACTGGAAATTCTATATATAGCATCTCTAGTTGCTAAAAGGTTTGTGGTAGTTAGATAATGTACTATTTGTCATTAAATCGTAGTTAAAAATTGGAATACGATGTAACTCGGTATTATTCATTCGCAATATGTATTATGTAATTCAACGTCTTAGGGTTTTGGCCAACTTCTTCTGTAAAGAAACAGGTCGAAATGAAAATGAACTTAAGCATTTCAAAAGTGAAGAAAGAATCCATTTTGGGCCTCAAATTAGATGGGAATTATGCGGAATAGTCCTTAGCTCCATAAGTACTTATCGAGATCGATCAGCTTCAAACTATCCATTACCTATGTTTTGAATTTTTGATTATCGTGAATTAAACGTCGCTTTGTATATGACGATCGAATTCAAATTTGAGGAGCCTTGAATTTCACCAATATTTTTCCACAATCGGGTTGATAGAAGTAGCAGCTAGCCAAGTATGTAATGCGCTTCAAAGAAGAATTATTGTTGGATAAATCTGAACCAAAGGCAAGCCAAAAATAAGGTAACTTGAATTTAGGCCCCAAAGCATTAATGCGCTTGTAATTATGTAATTTATTTCATTTGATTTATGAACTTATCAAAGTCGTCGATCACCTCGAAGTTGAACGACAAAGTTCATGGCAGAAATTCGCGAAACATAAAGAGTTATTACATTCAAACTTTTGTTTGATTTATTAATTCGTATATGCTTGCCAGGTCGTAACTCACAAACCCCAATGAAGAGGCAACTTATTTCCGAGCATCATATTTATGTTGCATCTTCTATTTGCAGCTTCTCAGCTTCAAACCCTGAAAAAAAAAAAAAACCGAACAAGATGATTTGATTTTAGTACCATGGTTAAGGATGCCCGAAAATTAAACTGTAATCACCTGACTAACTTATCTACAATAGTAGAAAAATAAATTTCTAAGGTTAAAAAAAAAAAAAAAAACCACCAAGAGAGGGCTTACTGTTGGTAATCAATCCTGACTTTTCCGGCATTTGGGTCAGCAATTCTAGCAAAAGCTTCCTGAGAGAGATCAATGGTCCCGGCACATCCGGGAGGGCAATAGTCGACGATTTTAACGACGACGCTTCCACGGCAGGGCTGGGGGACTCCTTGGTTTGTTGGTCCGGTGCATGTCACTCTGTAGTTCCTCCCGCAAGCTGCCCTGTTGTTCCATATTACGTCGCTGGCAGCAGCTATCATCACGCCGTTGTCTTGGTATCCATAGCAAGATGACGCTGTAACAGAATTACAAAAAAGAAAAAAAAGTACGTTACTACTTACTATATATAATTTTACGAGAAGATATTTCATACATCGACTGACATCTTTTGAAGACGTGTAAAAAAAAAAAAAACACTTACGAACATAAGGAGGTGTATAGTAAGTGGCAGTGCCACTAGCGGCGTAAGCAACGCTAACAAGGCATGCAACCAAGCTAATGATCATAAAAACTCTCGCCATGGCTTTATGATTGAAGTATATGAACTAGTGAAATATTAATTGTTGATCACTTGGAGTTTTTAAGGTAAAGTGATTGATGAGGAAAAAACTAAGAAAATCTCCCCCTTTTATATTTGAAAATCTTGGAGTGGGCACTAGGGAATTCTAACTGTCTAATGATGACCGCTCAACGTTTGCAGCAGCCACAGGTTTGCGGAAAATGGGATGAGTGGTAATTGTCATGGCTCATGCAGGAGTCTTTGTAAGTCTCTTTCAATTGATTCATAGAATTTTAAGTTTGAAAAATTCAATATATAGATGATATAGGTACGTAGTAGGGTGTCAATCTATGTAAAATGAGGTAACTGAAGATAAAAATTGACACGTTTATAATACTATGATAACAAAAAGGTCCTATTTATGTCTCCTTTTTTGTAAAAGAAAAATGTTACGATCCATCGAGAACTAATATGGACATTTTTACACAAAAAATAGTACCATTTGTGTGGTGTAAACTCAAATACGACGTGATTAACACTAAATATCATATCCACCCGAAATTTGGCGGACCGAGAATGGTCTTTTAGTTTGGCAATAGAGTGACTAAAGAAGAGGATTACATGAACCTAGCTAGCTTCTAAGTCCTTTTCGTATTGTACAAGTTACTTCCAACTGTAGATTTTTTTCCCCGATAATTAATTAGTTCAATGCAACGACTTTATCAATTAAATTAACATTCGTGTTCCAACCACAGATTATGCCATAAGGTGTAGCTCGTATAATTTTGTGAACTGGGACTGTCACACAACTAATAAAACTAACGATTTTTGTTGCATAATTAATTTTCACCTCTCAATAATCCCACGCTATAATTAGTGTTTACCGCCCATAATTTGTCCTTGTACAAGTTATATATCTTTTTCCCCGAGTTACATTTATTTTATTATTAAAAAATGATTAGATTAACATTGTAAGAGAATAATAGCAGCTCCATTTTGATTATGTTAATTTATGTTATCCCCGATTAAAATTTACATTTGACGGATGAATGATTAAGAAATTAAGCTTAAATTTAACCAAATGGTTTGTGTGGTTGAGTTGAGTGATAAAGATTGGTGACTTACCCTTCATTATAGATTCGTTAGAAAATAATAATGGACATGAGTAGATTTAAAGTCGATGTGCTTCAAAATAAAGTTCTAACTTTTTTCTCGTTCTACATAGAATTATTGTGAATTGACATGGGTTGAACGGAATATCGAATATCAATGGAATATTGCAAACAATTCACCTCAAAGGTGTATCTTGACCGTAATTATCATTTAGATGAAGACTGACCTCAAAACCTTCCCCCATGTCCCAAACAATAATCAGCATCCCTTTTTTTCCCCTTCACTTTTTATCGTTGATCTACCAGACATTCTCACGAGTGTTGGTAAACATAAAAGAAAAATGGTCATTTAGAGGTCATTTTTTTCCATTGATAATTTGGAAAGAGAGGTCAGAGTATGATTTTCTCTGCCTTCCCATTTTCAAAAATTCATTTTATTTTAAGTGGAAGGAGTAACCTTTGTGGAATTGATCCATCAGAAAAATATTTTTTTAAAAAATGACAATTAATTAAATTAGCCTTTTGGACAGTATTTTCAACATGTAAAATCGAATTTCTACGAAAATCAACTTTGTTAATTAGTCGTGATAATTTTGATTTTTTTTTTTTTTTTTGTTTTGAACGGTTAAATGGACCGATTGAGACAGGAGAGGAAGAGTGGAAGACTGAAGCTGCAAACAATATTACAGTGGAACGTGCACAAATTGGACTTTTTATAATATTATCAGCAGCCAAACAAGGACAAAATTAGAAGGTCTTGACCCTAAATCCTGAGATGACTTGATTGAACCGGCATCAAATTTTATGTGGAAGTAGCTACACTGTTTTGATCTTCTTATCTTTCCTCCCCGATTTGCATTAGAAAGATCTCGTCAATTATTCTGGTGTTGGGACACATTATTTTCGTTTCAGAATATTGGTTGAACAGGGATTATTGTGTGTTATAAGTTTAGTTTATGGTTCTTAAAAAATATATATACACAGAAAAGAATATAAATATGAGTAATTACCTATTTATCTTTTTGATATAATTTTTTGTAAAGTTGTTTGGGATTGAACAGAGTAAAGTATTTAGTCACTGATGAAGTAATTCGCTTATATTATTTGTGTGTTATAAGTTTAGTTTATGGTTCTTAAAAAATATATATACACAGAAAAGAATATAAATATGAGTAATTACCTATTTATCTTTTTGATATAATTTTTTGTAAAGTTGTTTGGGATTGAACAGAGTAAAGTATTTAGTCACTGATGAAGTAATTCGCTTATATTATTTGGAATTAACTTGTAATTAACTTTTTTCTTCTTTTTTTTTTCCGTCCAATGTTACACATTTCTCATAGACGGAATTATACAAATCATTTCCACTCGGATTGTCGTTTTTGTAGTGCAAAATGGACACGCAAACATATAATTCCAAAATTGACTTATGAAAACTTTTCCAAAGGATTCATGCACCGCATACTTCTAACTTGTACTATTGGCGTGCTACGATTTTGCTAGAATTTCTCGGACGGAATCACACACAAGTCATATCCTATTCCCTCTCTCTCTCTCTCTGTTTTTCTTTTTTCATAAAATGTCACAAGCAGCCGCTCAAGCGGCAAATGTGGGCATGTTTTCATATTATTATTTTTCTCTTTCCTAAAAAAATCTAGTTTTATGTTCCCTTTATCCTAAAAAAATAATCCACGACCAACCTCAAAAATCAATGTGCATTATTTATTTATTTGAAAAAATAACTTTATAAACATTGCTGGAATCAGCCAGCTCTGAATCATAACCAATTCGGAGGAAATGACCATAAAGTGTCCCCCAACTTACAAGACTTAGCATAATTCGCAATTTCACGTGTTATCGAATCTTCCAGATGATTAATCCAAAATAAACTAGAACTAACAAATTGTTGTGTGAGTTGTTGAATATTTTGGACAACCGGAATGGCTAACTGTGGTCTGCAATCTCAATGTGAATTATTTTTTGGGATAGAGGGGGTAAAACATTTTGTTCCTTAAAGAACAATTGAATTTCAAAAAAATCATGATTAACTTGATATAAAATTTCAAATGACTACCCCTATCTCATAACTAAAACGTATGGCAGCAACTGTCGTAGTTGAAAACGAATTCATTAGAGGCACATTGGAAATTTGGGCATAATTATTGATTGTACGAACTTTGATTGAGTTTATCAAAATTAAAACTTTTAACTATGCAGTTTCTTTTTTTTTTCTTTTCTGGAATAGAAAGATTATTTGAGACCCGGTTTGAAAGTATAGTGAGAGCACTACAATCTAGCACACTAGTAATACATCTTTGTGTAAAAGTAAACCTCCAAATTAGACTATAATTTCGGGACAGACGTAGTATTTTGTTTTCTTCCGTATGTTCTTTGTTTTCTTGGTTACAATCCATATGTTCATTTTCATAAACTCTTTTGTAAACATATATTGTGTTTTGCTATATTTTCATTTCTCTTCGTCTTCGGAGTCATCACAAATATGTCAATGCGGACACAGAATTTTTCACCTGCTTTTTTAGATATTGGTTTAAACGGTAGATGAGAGATGTACGCCTTCTAAGAAAGTATAAGAATCTGTTAAAATTCAAGGCGATTATGATAAAATAATGACGGAATTTACGTACCGCCCAAACAAGAAAAAAAGTGGTTCTTAATCCCAAATAAAAATATTCACTTAGTTGAAATGTTGTAGCGTACAAACATAAATATTCACTTAGTTTCAATATGAACTAATTGTTTTTGAACAAAAAGGAGTAGTTTTTTTGTAACGAAAAGAATAAAGGAAAAAAGGAAAAATTAGTACCTATGTCGGTGGTAATAGTGGAGGAAAAATAGAAACAAAAATTTTTAAGATTACTAAGGCAAATGAAGTAACTTGTCACAGGTGCGACCGAAATCGCATACTCACAAATGAAGAAAACAAGGCAAGTGTGAAATCATGAATGAAAGACGAAATAATTGGCATTTTCTATTCATCTTATCTTATGAAAGTTTGCTGGGTCTGGTCAATCCGAAATGAGATCTGCTGATGAAATCGTAACGATGTTTTGAAAAATGGATATTACGATAAAAAAGGACATTTTATTTCAATAAACAAAAACAAGGGGAAAATAACAGGACTAACAATAAGCAACAAATTTCTTCCTTATTCGATGCGATTATATTAATTATAAGCACCATATCTAGATCCCACACTGAAGCAGGATTTCATGTTTTCATTATTCTTTTTGGCTAATCAATCACAGCTGATTGTATTGAATCGTGATCCTCCCGGCATCAAGATTAGCAATGACGGCAAACGCATTCTGGTTAAGATCAAATGTGGTTTCACAAGCCGGACAGAAATCATCTATCTGAACATCAACACTTCTACCGGTGCAAGGATTTGGGGTACCCGGATTTGAGCTACCGGTGCAAGTTATTCTGTATCTCTTTCCACAGGCCCCGTTACGACCCCATATTGCCGGACTAGCTGCAGCAAATAGGGTTGTCTGATTGAAAATTCCGTAACAAGATGGGGGTGCTGCCAAAAAAAAAAAAAAAAAACAAAAGAAAAAGAAAAAGCCGTCCATTTAAGTCTAACATCGGAGAAAATGCCAAAAAAAAAAAAAACAGTTATTATACTCCGGCGTTCGATTTAAAAAAAGTCAAGTTTTGTTATATTGTTTTAGTTAACTAAAGGAACTGACTCTTCCATTTTGGAAACAGAACGAGTACTAAGGATTTCTTATATAATGTTTAGAAATACTTACGGCCACCACCTAGGGGTTGGGAGTAGCTGGCAGTGCCACTCTCGGAATGAGCGGTAGAAATAAGGACCATCAACGATACCATAAAAGCCACAATTTTCATAGATGCTGCCATGTTTCTGAATTCAAATATAAACATTTTTTTGGCATTCGGAGACAAGGATATATATATATATATATATATATATATATATATATATATATATATATAAGTAAGTTCCTCCTCTTTATGGGAGAATATTCAATTAATGTGGATGCCTCCACCCGTCTTCAAAAAAGGGGGAAAAAAAATCAAATTTCAAATTCTAAGTAGATACAATGTACATAATAATATTCCTTTCATCCTAAAATAATTGTGTTGTTTTAATGTTACTCCTTCTATCTCAAATTATTTTCATTTTAACTTTTAAGTACAATTGAACTTAAAAAAAAATAAAATTAAAACTGGCAATATTTTTGGGAGAAAGGATTACATTTTATTTTTGGTACAATAGACTTACATTTTAACTATCATCACCTATACTATAACTGAATATTCTCTTATACAAATAATCACCTGGCATCTATTAGACTTTTTAACAAAATTACATTTTTATTTGGACTCTGTAGGTCAGTTAATTTATTGTAACTGCTCTTTTAAAAGCAAAGGTTACAAGGAGAAGGTATAATGTCTAATGAGCTAGGAGGGAAGGTTAGATACTCGATGAGATGGTGAGTGTGACAAATTATTATTATTACGAGATTGGGTTAAACGCCTAATATATTTTAAAATATTAAGAAGTCTTAAAGTCCTTTACCTCTAGCTAGGAAAATGGAAGAATGCCGGAGTAGATTAAGGATGCACCTGGATACACAAATAGTACTAGTAGACATATATAGATAATTATATAGAAGAAAAAAAGAAAAATGCACTTGATCAATCGTTAATAATTATTTTAGCAGCCTATCTATATGTGAATTCAGTCAAGATCACTAGAAGGTTTGAGAAAGTATTTGGTATTTGAGGCTTAATTAGGCCTTTGGAAATGTCAGAGATCATAAGAAGGTAAAACACGGATGTGTTTGATCATGATAGGACCCATAAAAGTTTCTCCAGCCAAAGGAAAAGCAAAACTAGTAGTAAAAATAGATGGTGAAATTTAAAAATGATCTATAAAAGAGCAACAATTTTTTTTTTTTTTGAAAAAAAGTGACAAGTTATAGTGATTTAGATGTAGCGTAGGATGTGTTTATATATAAAAAAATTATTGGGTACAAATGCTGTATCCAAATTTTTAGTGCAACAAGTACTAGCATTCCCTATTTTGGTGGTATAACTATCGTAGAAATTATCTCTTTCTTATCAAAATTATTATTTTACCCAATTATTGTGTCTAGCTACACAATACTACGTGGTACAACAGTTGCACTGAATAATTTCTCTTATATATAACCCATCACTTATTTTTTAAGTAGTAGTTATTTAACTACACTCGAAAACCCCAAAGAACTCTTTTAGCAGTAATCTTAACTAACGAACCACTTAAAAATGAATACAATGAGGAGTAAAATTTAGTTCATTGTTTATATATCTCCGTCGACCAGTAGCCAAATCAACTAGTTCTTCTTTTAATTTGAAATGAAGTGAAAATGAATTTTGAAATGATATAAATCGAACCATTTCTAGTTCTTCATACGAAACAAAGAGGAGACATTCATGGCACAAGCGGCGTCATATTAACATAACAGAAGTCTTAAATGGGTGTTGATCTTGGATCAAATGTCAATAGACATACGAAATATACAGCATAAATGTGACATCGGCAACAGTGATCTCAATGGGGTTTTGATCTTGGGATTAAAAAAAAAAAATTCTATATATACTATTTCCATTTTTTTAAATCTTTTTTCATTAGGTTACGCATAAGTATTATGCAACAATTGATTGATCCTTTAATTTTTAAGTGTAATACCTTTCTTCCCGCTAATTATAAGTGTTTAGACTATATAAAAATTAAAATTTGAAGTAAAAAATGGTTAACTACATTTAGTATATATTATTAGGGGTATAGGAAAAAAACATATTTTAATGCTGAATTAGAAATAAAAATCGGCAAATAAATTTTTTTTTTTTGAATTCATAAAAGTAGTTACATGTTTTCCCAAGTGCATCTCCCTCTCCCTAGCAGCTAGACCCAAAATATGGCGTGTATCTTTAGTGCAACAAGAATTATTAGTAGCCGTGATTATGGTTTCAATGACTAACTAGAACCCAAACCAAAATGTGCTGATGCGGGTTTAGTCCTAGCCTTGGTTCTAAACTGTAAAATTTCGGTACTTCGTGTTTTCGATTTGGTTCCAATTTTGTAGTTCTGTTAGACCCGGGTTTAGTACTACTTTAACTTTGTTTATCACCAGTTTATTAGTCTACGGTTAAACTCATGTCCTGAATGAGGCAACCTTATTTAAACATTCTAATAAGGATTAACAAAAACCGCATCAAATTAAAGAGACTTTTATTGAAGTGCTAGCTAGCACTAGTTTAAAATTACATAATCCAATAAAACCACACACGATGATGTGCGATCATTGAACAAGTTTTTCCCCATTTCATATTCTCTCTCAAAGAGAATTGGAGGGGGAAAAACCATACATTACTACACCATTGCTCTGAAATTAAACAGAAAATAACAGATTAGCTAATTAAATGGAATATTTAAACACGGCACATCATGGGGCCCATGTTGCACTGCTGAGGGAGGAAGCGAGCCTTCATCCGCATCTGCTCCATCATCTGTCGTTGTTGGCCACCCTGTCCCTGCCAGTTTCCACCGCCTTGCTGCTGCTCCGAACGGGCCATCCCGAACGCCGCCCTGACGGCCTCGCATCGGCACTGTTCGTTGAAGTTCTGGAGGGTCATGCAGCACTGTCGGAGGTGGGGCTGCTGCATCTGCTGGCCGCTTTTTCCGACCACCTCTTCCAGCATCATCATGCCGGATGAGAGAGGTAGCGCTGGCAGTGGCGGATCTGCTGCATCTGCTGCTGGATCTGCTGTCGGCACATCTGCATCGGCATCTGCCCGCCTTGGTTCAGGTCTTCCTCGTCAACGGTGGTGGTTACGGTGAACCTGTTGGCCTGAGCAAAGGCCAACAGGGCTACTAACATTGCTGCAAATACTCCTAACTTTGCCGTAGCTACTTATGAGGTGTTGCTCTTGCTGTGGATTCCGAATCTAAGTGAGAAATTGTGTATGTTCTTTTTCCGGTGAAAGGTAAGGAAATGAAGGGAAGCGATTTATAGGAGAAGAGATCCATTGCATGGCTACAACGTGCATGGTATTTGTTCTCATGCGAATGATGCCAATTCCGTCGCGGTTCATTTAATTTGTATGCTTTTGTGTTCAATTGGATCTTCCCAACTATTTTCTTTTCGAGTATATTTTGCGGCGGTGCACTAAATGTAGCCTACCCTCTCCACATATGGGGAAGGTTTCATGAGATACTTTAGAACACAAATTCGATCATTTTGCCCAACAATGCGCCGTATCGCAATTTAATCGTGATTCGTGACAACAATCAGAACAAATTGTGCATTGTTGTTAGTTCCACCGAAGAATTAATAGTCACTTTATCTGTTACCAAAAAATTAATCAATATCTTAGAATTAATTTATTTAGTTCAATATAATATTCCCTCTGATCAATTATAACAATATGATGTTTTGTAACAGAAAAGGATTATATAGATAGTAGTATCTCAACGGAAAGGGGATCGAAAAAGCTAGGGCAGCAGTTGCAACCGTCAAAGAGGAGAGAGAAAAAGAGATGTTTCTGGAATTTTGTCAAATCTATTATGTAAAAGTATATACAGTATTTGTCCTAACCACTATTTATACATATATGTACACTGCTGACTTTAATTGACGTGTATATTTACATGTATGTCCATGTATTCCCTAATATATACAAAACAGCCCAACTATACAAAATTGTACAATACAAATCATAAGTATTGAATCTCTTTATGCACAAGTGGATTTAAGTCCTCTTCCGGATCCTCTTTGTTGTTCATCACGCCCTCCTCAAGATGAACATTGGGCGTGAAACCAAGATTAATCTTGCCAAGAAGATAATGGAAGCTGCGAGCAGGAAGGGGTTTAGTGAAGAGATCAGCAAGTTGCTGAGATGACCGGATGTGGAAAAGATCAATAAAACCTGCAATGTAAGAGTTATGCACCATGTGACAATCGATCTCTATGTGCTTCGTTCTTTCATGATAGATAGGATTGGCAGCAATGTAGAGGGCTGCCTTACTGTCACACCAGAAAGGAATAGGCAGGGATACAGTGACCATCATATCATGCAGAACATATGACAACCACTTCAATTCTCTAACAGTATACGCCATGGACCTGTATTCGGCTTCAGCAGACGAACAGGAAATGGTAGACTGTTTCTTGGTTTTCCAGGAGACTAAACAATCCCCGAGAAAGATACAATACCCAGTGAGTGAGTGTCTACTAAAATCACAACACCCCCAGTCAGCATCTGAGTAAGCAGTAAGAGACAGAGCAGTAACAGTTGGATAGAAAAGACCCTGATTGGTAGTACCTGCAAGATACCTTAACAGATGAAGCGCAGCTGACCAATGAGAGCTTCTGGGAGCATGAACAAACTGAGAAAGTTGCTGCACTGCATGAGTGAGATCAGGTCTAGTAAAAGAAAGATAGAGTAATCTACCAACTAAGCACCGGTACTGAGAAGCATCAGATAGAAAAGGAGTTGTATCCTTTTTAGAAAGCCTTAGATCATTGGGAAACGGGGTAGCTGTTGGATGCGCTTCCAACATGCCAACATCAGTTAAAATATCCTTGATATATTTTTGTTGACTAAGAAACATACCTGCTGAACCTCGAGCAATTTCAATCCCCAGGAAAAACTTTGCGGTACCTAAATCCTTGATAGTAAAGGGCATATCAAGAAGTGCCTTTACCTTGGTGATTTCATGATCATCAGAACCAGTAATAAGCACGTCATCTACATACACAATCAGCAGAATTAAAACAGCAGAGGTATGAAGAACGAACAAACAAGGATCAACATACGTCTGCTTGAAACGATAAGTGGTAAGAGTTTTGGTAAAAGCACAGTTCCACTGTCAAGAAGCTTGCTTCAAACCGTATAATGACTTGCGCAACTGACAAACCTGGTGAGAAGCGGCCTTCTGGTAACCAGGGGGTGCAACATATATACCTCTTCATCTAGGTGCCCATGTAAAAAGGCGTTGTTGACATCCAGCTGAAATACATTCCAACCCTTGTTAACAGCTAGGACCAGCAAAACCCTAACAGTGACTGTCTTGGCTACGGGGGAAAAGACCTTGAAGTAATCTTCCCCTTCAATCTGATTATATCCTTTCGCTACAAGTCGTGCCTTATATTTGTCTACAGAGCCATCAGCTTTACACTTGACTTTGTAGACCCATTTACACCCAATAGCTTGCTTACCAGGTGGTAACGTAGTCAAAGTCCAGGTTTGATTGTCCTCCAGAGCACTTAACTCCTTATTCATGGCCTTAATCCAATGAGGATCATCCTTGGCTTTAGTAAAAGTCTGTGGTTCACTAATAGTGGATATATTTGCAACAAAATGTAAATGTTCCGAAGAAAAAATGCATGACTCTTTCGAAAGAATGGTCTGATTAGTACACTGATTGACCAAGACAAAATCTTGCAAATATGTAGGTAGCTTCGTGGATCTACTGCTCCTACGTAGCACAGGAGAAGAATTAGGTTCAGATTGTACTAATGGAGAGGAAACTGAAGGGTTAGAAGAGGAAAGAGAAGGATCGATTGTATGTAAAGAAGGAGAAGACAGTGAAGAAGACGATGGTGACAAAGAACGATCATCCGTGGGAGGAATAGTGGATAAGATACCTCCGGAGGGGACATAATCTACATCATGAGAAACTGGTTTTGGCAGAACAGACAGTGAATCTGATTCAGAATGGACACGTTTAGAAGGGAACATATTTTCATGGAATTGAATGTGCCTAGAGATCACAATCTTTTTAAGCTCATGACAATAGACTTTATATCCCTTTTGCCCGTGGGATAACCGACAAACACCCCCTTAAAGGACCTATGATCCAACTTATCCCTATCAGGCCGGGAATTTAGAACAAAGGCTAAACAACGAAATACCTGTAGATGATCTAAGAGGGGTGGCTTTCCATGAAAAATTTCATAAGGGCTTTTCCACTCAAGTAACTGAGAAGGTGTTCGGTTAATAAGATATGTCGCCGTAAGCATAGATTCCCCCCAAAAGGCTTTTGGCAAACCAGATCTAATCAATAAGGACCTAGCAACATATATGGATCGGAAAAGCTAGGGCACCGGTTGCAACCGTCAAAGAGGAGAGATAAAAAGAGATGTTTCTGGAATTTTGTCAAATCTATTATGTAAAAGTATATACAGTATTTGTCCTAACCACTATTTATACATATATGTACACTGCTGACTTTAATTGACCTGTATATTTACATGTATGTCCATGTATTTCCTAATATATACAAAATAGCCCAACTATACAAAATTGTACAATACGAATCATAAGTATTGAATCTCTTTATGCACAAGTGGATTTAAGTCCTCTTTCGGATCCTCTTTGTTGTTCATCACTTGATAGATGGTGCTTGCGGTTTCAAATCGGAAGGAATGCACAAGAGCTGGGGCATATGATTGTGATCAATCCGGATTATATATATATATATATATATATATGTATATATTAAAATTTTTGGCACAGGCTTGCAATTTTAATGATACTCCAGATTTGGAGCTGGATGATTTCCTAGTAATATAAGCTGAATTGAATCTAGTATCAAAATTACAACTGAGAAATGTTCAAATTCTGGGATATTCGGCGGGGGCATCCATACAACATTAATTTGGAGAACGGGAGAATCAAATTGTTCTAACTTGTCTATACCAGTTTCATTGGAAGTTTGGGGGTTAAATTAGCAACATCTTTTGAATTCCTGTAAAACAATCTGATAATACATGTAAGATCATCTCCTGTTAAATTGAAAGTCGAAAGAATAATGTCAAAGTCTTATTTTCTTTTTTTTTTTAAAAAAATAAAATTTCATAAAAAATAAAAATAGGGCAGCGGATATAATCAAGTACAATTTTAATAATAAAGAAAATTTATATCCTTATTTAATCGACGAACTCTAATTTTTGCTTTAGCCTTGGCTTTTTTTTTTTTTTTTTTTATCATTTGTGTTGCTCCTGGAACATAAACCTCACTGTAGAAAGACTCTCGTTCCAATTCTCGCTCTATGTCAAATTCGTCATCTTCTAACTCATTAAAAGCATGATTTCGTTCTTCTTCGAAATGTATTTGTTCAACCGAATAACTTGAATTAGAAGCCTCTGCCTTTTTTCCTACTTCCGTATCATCTTTAGAAAAATATTTCGTATTTTCCTAAGCTGAAAAAGGGAGCAATATTTGGAGGAGTGGAGTGTGTGGTCGAGAGGAGTGGGAATATTCTGGAGCAGCAGGGTTTAATTTTCTCGCAGAGTTATTAGCCAAATAATTTTGGAAAACTATTTTTTCAGAAATTAAGGGAGAAGCATGTGGTAAAGGAGAGTTTGACTTCGAGTGTGACTCATTTAAAATTGAGATACTCTAATCACATTGTAATTGCTGAATTGGGGGGATAAGATCTTTGACCGCTGATGCCACAAGAGTTAAGGAAGGGTAACAGTCGCAAGCGCAATTGACGCGCGATTCACCTACAGAATTAGTGGATTTTCTTGACCGCTCTTCATCACCCGTGAGTCCTGCCGGCCTTTCAATGTCGGCAATGGGATTGCTTCTCCATAAGTGGATTTAGTTTGGTCAGAATCTTATGGTGAAGTGATACGAATCTTGAGGTGAGATGATTGAATTACCTCAAACGCGGAAGTTATGAATTTCTCAAGACTTGATAACTTGCGACACCAATGGAGAATACTCCAAATCACACGAGAAAGAGAAGAATAAAAGAAGAAGAACGATGCAAATCACAAAAATTTGAACAAAAAAGAATGAAAGATTCGAAAGATGAAGAATTGTATTTTGGTTAGCAACCCAATCGGTTCCTCTCTAATAACCCTATCCCTTCAATTTATGGATAGAACGGCTAGCGAAAAGGCTCCAATGAACAAACTAACAAAGCTACACACGTGAATAACACTTAAAATCACGCGCACGCATCAACAAAACACAAACAAGTGTGCAATGCACTAATCTTCGAAAAGAATAGAAAAAGAACAAAGAGTTTCCTCTCGTCTCGTATTGAAATAGTAATAATCATCAAAAGTATATGATTTTGGTCAACCAGCCCCATCTATTTATAGGAAAGGTTGGCTTGGACAAAAAGAAATTCGAATACAAGTTGAAATCGAATTTGTCTACCTAAGTTTCCTAATATAGATTTAAATAATAATTAAATAAATAATTACACATGTCACAATTATTTAAAACCATCTAGAATCTTCTAGAGGTGTATAAGAGTCGGCCAAAAGGGTTAAATGACTGAAAAATCCTTTTCCTAATTGAAATAGGAAGATAGGAAAATTCTGCCTGCGGTCGTCGACCCTTCTATCGACTGGTAGAATGTTCGATGCGCCACTGTCGACTTCCTTGTCGACCGACCTTCTGCTCGACGCCCTGCTGTCGACCTTGGTGTCAACCAACAGCTAACTCAAAGCCAGTTTGTCAACTTTGTTGTCAACTTCTTCACCTCGACCAAGAGCTTGACATGCACTAAAAGCTTCAATTCCACTCAAAGCTAAACATGATACCCATGCAAAAGAATCCACATTGAGAGTTTGAACATCCATGAACAAGTTATTGAGCGACTCATTCATTTTCTTCATTCGAGACCTCGTCATAAAACCTCCAATATTTGCTAATAGATCTTGAATCACTCTTTGAGTTTGAACTTAATTTTTCAGTTGAACAACGAGTTGTCCTTGAGCTTGATAACCTTGGATGTCCACATCATTCTTCTTTATTGATTTCTTCTTCTTGACTAAATCATAGTTGCGTATCTTGTCATCTTTCTCGTCTATCTCCTTTGCTTGACCATCATGTCGACGTGATTCTTTCAACTTCATTGTCGACTTGGTTCTAGCTTGACGCGAACCACATTTTGGCTTCAATCTTCCATCATCCTTAATTGTAACATCAATATGACAAAATATACCCTCTATGTGATCACATTCGATGTAATGATTATCATAGTTACTTATGACACTCAACGGGCCATCCATGATTGCATCAAGAAGAGGGAATAGGAGATGGTTTTTCTCCCGCGTTCGTTGGAACAGAAGCAGCAGCAGCGGTTAATGGCGAAGGAATTGCTAGCGGTGGAGATTCTTCATTGTTGGCGTTAACTAGCGCAACTCTTTCTACTCCCGCAACCACTAAAGCAGCAGCCGAATAATTATCCCCCATAGTTGTAAGAGCAGCAGCGGCTCGCTGATCAGAAGGATCAATAACACTAGTTACGAGAGCTTGGATTGATGCATCACCCGCTCCTTACGGAGACTCACTTTGAGGAGGCTCAATAACAGCCTGAGCTACCAGAAAATCTTCTGGAGCGTCTACTCCTTTTTCTGAGATCAAGGGACTGTCTGGGGCATCTATTGGAATGCCAATTTTCTCTGTCGCTTTCAATCCAGAGGTCAATCCCTCTAGGGTTCTCGCAGGGAGCAAGGTGATGACATGTGTTTGTGAATTCGGAGACACATCTTCAGCCACTGGTTGTTCTCCCGTAGGGGCGGAAACTTGTAGCAAAGGACTCAGCACAACAGTAGAAGGAGGAGGATTCATCAATGATGTTGCTTTGATTGATGAATTGAAGGCTGCGACTCTAGCTTTTTTAGATGATGATGCTTTTGTATTGCGTCGACAGGAATCATGATCATGGCCAATTTTTTTACAATCGACACAATATTGTGGCATATTTTCATAGTAGATTAGTTGGAAGTAAGACTTCCCTTCAACTCCCAGCCGGATTCGAATGGGATGTTCTTTGAGGAGGTCTATCTCTACACAAATGCGAGCCACCGAAGGTCGCGACATATTGAGGGTTGGTACATCAATTTGAAGAGGAGTATCTATGATGCTTACAAGCTTCCACAAATAGTCCTTGTTGAAGGGATGAATGAGGAGACCTTCTAAAGAGATCCAAACTGGAACAATGGAACTTTCATGTGCTGGATTAAAGTCAGTGGTCCATTTTAGGACTCGCATCTGATGCTTGTCAAAGGTCCACAATCTTTTAAACCAACAACAATGAAAGTCCTCTTCTAGATAAAAGCATATGAGGATGTGTCGATAATCAATCAACCCAATTGAAAAATTCCCTTTAAAGCCAATGATTTGGAATTTTCTCCTTAGATAATCCATTTTTGGCCTACCTTTGGTGAATTTTCCTACTAGAGCAAGACAAAATGGCGCTGCTAACTGTTCATCTTCTTCTTTTGTAAGAAGAAAAGTTGGCTCTCCTTTGAATAAAGTTGGCTTCGAGTGGATAATGGGTGGGTTGAGAATTTGATTTTTTTTTTTTTTGTGTATTGTTTTTGGATTTAAGGTAGAGCCTAAAATCTGTGCAAATGAAGGCCGTTGAGAGAGTGTTGGGCCTATGGCCGGCAGCATTTCCCCGGCCATAGGAGGAAGGGAGAGGAGGGTTTAGAGAGAGGAGGAGAGGTTTTTATTCTTCAAAATAAAATTGAAGTCTTATTTTCTGTATCAATAAGGTATACTGATTTCTCGTAAAGTTAAGTTAATGAAAAAACTTTTCTTCTACTTTGGAAAAATGTAGTATCACTTGTTTGACCTTAAAATTTATCGATTCAATAATCGACACTTAATAGTGTAATAGTAAAATAATAATACAAAAGATGGGAAACAATCATTCAAGTAGATCCAATTTACTATGAACTGAGTTATATGGAGAGGCATCGAGGGTGATCAACACAGTATACGTTGACAATTAATCTTAACCACAGTCAAGACTGGACCAAAACTACTCTTCTCTCAGTTAGTTCGGTACGTGGAAATTATGGGATTATTAAGCAAGTACCGTCAGTAAATGGACTTGAAAGGCGTACATATATTGGTTATAGACTTAATAGTCCACCAACATCAATAATGATCGATTTTTGACTAAAAAGGAACGTAGGTCCTTCGCCTTCCCAGTAGAAAATGGTGTCAATTTTCTATGTTTGAATGGTTCATATTGAGAATACGTAACGTGTACATAACATGTTGCAAATAGTTTAATATATTTTACCATTTATATGATTGAATAATGATATGTACAAAGAAAAATAATAAGGAAAAATTACAAAGAAATAATCTCACCCATCCATCGTTAAAACTTTCCAAACAGGGTTTATGCATTTAAGGTTATGATATAGTTAAGATGTTAACACATCATCCGTTGTCAATATTCCTTGTCATTTTTTTCTTGTAACTATCACTACTTTGTATGATTTATCCAAAAAAGCACATACAAAGAAAATATGTAATATAGAGACATCTAGATGAAAGAACTTGGGTGAGAGTGTTGGGTGGGATGGTTAGAGGATTAGAATAGGAGATGGTTATTATCAGGATGTTGATGATTTGATTCTTGCTAGAGTCATCTAATTTTATTTTATTTTATTTTTTTTTTAAAAATCTAGATGAAAGAACTATGGGGAAAATAAGTTCACTACCTTTCAATTTGAATATTAAAACCTGAAGTCATTCGATATTTGCCGCAACGCGAGAATGCATGTTTTCCTTGTCCTTCTTCTTGAACTTGTGGACTTAAAAAGAGCCACACGATATGATAAACATTCATTCAAAAAAAAAAACCACATAGCAGAATATATATCTGGACTTATTACCAAATTGGCTTTTTCGTCTACCCAATACAGAAATAATTAAGCCAAATTATCATAAACCACGTAGCTTAATATGTAGAAGTTTTCTCTTTTTGTTTTGAGAATATATAGAATTTACTTCTTTTGTTTTTTAAGGGACATATAGATCACCTAGTTAGGCACAAAAATAATACGTCCTTTGTTTTGAAATGATTGATCCTTTTAAAATAATTTATACTAAAAATTGAAAATCCAAGCTATGAAATCATTTGGCCTGAAAGATTAGTTTCAAAATTCTTTTATTGACTAAGTATCATACCAATTTAAGAGATAAGCATGTGTGACCGGGCCTAGTAAAATTTTTCATGGGATCAAGATTTAGCCAAAATGGTTATACACTAAATTACTCAATATCTATTAATGCTATTGTGACCGGCATGTTGTTCAAATTGTTGAATGGTCAACAACACAAGCATCAAACGATCTGATTAATTCCACAGAGAATGTATTATTCTACAACATTTTTTCATTATAAAAGGATATTTTACAAGTTGTAAGAGCCTTACGTTTCTAGTCTGGATTACCAAAATACTTCTGGGGGGATTCCATTTTGACAGCTACATATTTGATAAAGTGATTGCCCTCCTCAACTCTTGAAGGGAAAGTTCCTTATGAAATCTTGTATTCTAAGTCACTGAACTTTAGTCATCTTCGACCTTTTGGATGCCATTGTTTTGCTACTAACACAACTGCACATAAAAGTAAATTTGATCCCACGCTATTCGTATGTCAGGTCAGTAAACTGGAACATGTGCAATACCCTGGGTTACTGCAACCCTTGCCAGTTCCTGAACAAGCCTGGAAAGGGATTGCTATGGATTTTATTAAAATGTTGCCTATGTCCATGGAAGGATATGACTGCATTCTGATGGTGGTGGGTAGTTGAGCAAGTTTTGTCATTTCATATCAATGAAACATCTCTTTACTGCTAAAAAGGTGTCTGAGGTTTTTCTTAAAGAGGTATACATGTTGCATGGTTTACCTGATTCTATAGTGTCAGTCAAAGGTAAGATATTTACTAGTAACTTTTGGAGGACTTTGTTTCAAGCTTGGGGAGTGCAGTTATGTTTCAGTACTGCATCTCATCCCCAAACTGATGGGTAGACTGAGAGATTGAACCAATGTGTGAAGGCTTATTTGAGATGTTTTCGTAGCACTTCTTTTAGCAGTTGGTCTAAGTGGTCATTGCTCGCTGAATCGTGGTATAATACTTTATTTCACTCCAGTGCACAAATGTCTCCCTATCAAGCTTTATATGGTTTTCAGCCAACTGGTATTCCTTTAGGAGCCTATCATGAAATTGTTATTCCTGTTGCTATTGACATGATCCAACAAAGATAGATGGTAATGGAGAGGTTGAAAGATATATTGGCTAAGGCTCGGCAAAGAATGAAGTACTTTGCAAATCAATCAAGAAGTGAAAGGCATTTTCAGGTTGGAGAGTGGGTGTACCTGAAACTACAGCCACACAGACAGCAGACAGTGGTTCATAGAAGTTCTCTAAAGTTGATGATTAAGTTCTTTGACCTTATAAGGTGTTGGAAAAAGATGGAAGTGTGGGGCCTATAAGCTAGAACTGTCGGAGGAATCCAAAGTATACCCAGTTTTTCATGTTTCTTTGCTGAAAAAGTACATTGGAGCTCCCTCAACTTAGGTTTCTGCTTTGCCTGATTTAGAAGACGGTGATGAGTGTGAATTGGTCCCTACAAAGGAGGTTCATATTGCAGGTGTCACAGGAAGTGGTGCACTGGCTGATTAAATGGCGTGGTTTTGAAGTTGAAGATTCATTTTGAGAGGAATCTTCTTTCATCAAATGTCAGTTTCCTGACTTTACAACTTGAGTCAAGTTGTTTTTAAGGGGGAAGGAATGTCATGCACGCCAAGTTTAGCGGCGGTGAACATTCAAAATTATGCTGCAAACGATGTCGTTTAGTTTAATTCTTTCTTAAGCCGTATTAATGACCGCCATGTAAGGATTAGGTTTAAGCAGTGATTTGTTGAATAACTGTACTTATAAATCCTAGAGGTTAGGGCATTCCAGAATCATCGATTAAGAATTTTATAAACATATTGAGTTGTAATCTTAAATTCCAATTCATGATTTCTCTCATGAGGTCAGAGTTTCTTAACTGAGGTATTTTGTTCTTCATTATTTTCCAAATTGAATTTCCATTTCTGGACATAATCATTTCTGTTCTTGACACTTTAAAATTAATCAACTCCAGCCCATGCATGTCTGGGCCAAACTTTAGCAAGAACTCCAAAATTGCCCGTTTGGTCCTCTAAACCTTTAACTCATTGGTTTCCCCCTCGTTAATTATTCAAATCTTCAACTTTGCCCCTTCAAGCTGCTTTTTATCTCGATTTTAGCTCAAACTTTTAACAATTCGTTCATTTGAGCATAATTCTTATAAACAAAGATAAAATCACATAAATAGCACATTTTCTACTCAAAATATTAGCATAATCTCACATAAAAGGATATTAAAAAATAGGTAATTTTAAGCATATCATGCTTTCTTCTAAGCAAGAAATTCAGTCAACTCCTAGGTGTCATTTTTCTCCAATGCCAACAATTCAAGTCTCATAGCATCTTTCCATTTGTCATGAGTCCTAGCATGATTATAACAAGAAGGCTCTTGGATATGATAAACATTGGCTAAGAAGCTTTCATGTGATCCAGAAAAGACACAATTAGAGAAACTGAAAGCTAGATTAGAAGATTGAGAATGACGAGGGATACAGACAAAATCAGTTAAACAACCAGGAGGTTTAGTAGGTCTAGAAGTTCTACGAAGAACTGGCTGCTGTAATGGTTCTGGAGAGAAAATGAAAGAACCAGATGAAGAGTGTGATAAAGGAGAATTGGAAGGTATATGAGAGTCTCTATCTTGAAAAGCAGGAGATGAAAAAGTGTTGTATTTTCTTCATGAAGAAGGTTTTCAGATTTTGGATGCATGTTATTAGAAACATCATCAAGGTCACTAGATTCTTCTCTTCTATCATTGGTGGTATCATCTTCTGGATAAGCTCTAGGTAGAACTATATCAGGTTGCTCTTTAGGCTTGTCTAGAAAGATGTGTTCATAGAAAGTCACATCCCTGGAAACAATGATCTTATGTAAACAGGGACAAAAGATTTTATATCCTTTCTGATGAGAAGGATACCCCACCAAAATGCCTCTATAAGATCTTGCATCAAACTTATCCCTCCCTAGTCCATTGTTAACAGCAATAGCTAGCCAACCGAAAACCCTAAACTAAGACAAAAAGCAGGTTTTCATTTCTGTAAGATTTGAAAAGGAGATTTCTAGTTAAGAAGTAGAGATGGAATTTTGTTTAGAATGTGTGTTAATGTAAGTCTGCTTCCGCCTAGAAACTCTTATAAACATTTGATTGAAGCAAAAGAGACATGGCTATTTGCAATATATGGCGGTGTTTTCTTTTAATAATGCCATTTTGCTATGGTGTATATGGGCAACTGCTTTGATGAATGATACCCAACTTAAAAAGTAAGGATTGTAAATTATCATTGAGGAACTCTATCCCATTATCCATCCTAATGATCTGGACATGACTATGGTATTGTGTTTGAACTAAGGAAAAAAAAGAGGCACAAATGTTGACAACTTTGGTCTTATGCTCAAACAGAAAAGTCCAAACACATAGACTAAAATTGTCAACAATTGTAAGAAAAAACTGAGATCCATTCATAGATGTTTGTTTACATGGCCCCCTTATATAATATGTAACAAAGAGAAATTATTTTGTAGTTTGAATGAACTAGAAGGAAAAACTACTCTGCTTTACTTTGCCAAGGGACAAGTCTCACACATTTAAGCACCACAATCTCTGCTACTAACCTTAATATCTTTAGCAACATATTTTATTACATTCATGGAGGGATGGCCTAATCTATGATGCCACATTCTAGAAGTGGTAACAGACAAGGCACTAGTAGTGACTTTCTTCTTACAAAACATAGAAGTAGGATTTCTGTACTGAGGTACATAAGATGCATAAGGGGCTTAAGATTGTAAAATGGTCATCTCAGAAAAAGAATTCTTGTCAGGAGTACAAGGACCTTAAACCATTTTCAGCTCCAATGACCTTATTAGTCCACAAGTCCTGAAGTAAGCCAAAATTATCAAAAAATCTGGGGTAAATGTGTGAACCATAAGCTAACCTTCGCACAGAAAGCAGGTTATGCTTAAAAGAAGAAACATACAAATAGTTTTTAAGAACTATTGTATCTTAAAAGAAGGCACATACAAGCAAGTTGCCACCACTCGACTAATTTGCTCAACCAAATTAATTTAGCTCCCGCATATTAGGAGTTAGTTATTAACCTAGCCTAAGTTATTCATTGTGGGTAAACCCCCTCTAAGTAGCTCACCAATTCCTATTTTCATTGAGGGTCACCTTATCGCGTATCCCTGTGAGGTGTAATCTTTCCGAACCGACGGTTATTCAAAATGAAAGAAAGGAAACTATGAAAATAAAATGAGATATTACATTGACAAAAGAGTGATCAAACCCAAAGCTTTCATTATTTCACGTACAAAATGCCATTCCAGAAGTTTGGAAGAGCAAACTTTACAACTGATTATTTGGTATCTTTAAGGATGACTGGGTCACGAGGGTGCCAGATACATATGCCCAACATTCACTTGTGCAATTGCTCCATTAGCCGTCCTCCCAATCCAAACCATCATCATCATCATTCCCTGAATCATCCACTTCTTTTATTTCATTGACCTCCACTGGTTGTGCTTGCAAGAGCTGCCTCTTCCTATTTGATTCGACATCATCTCCGTCATCTTCCTCTTCATGTTTAGATTTCATTCCCACTTGTCTTGAAGCACGATTGGAAACATCATAATTGGGGAATATCATATCTCTGTTCGCAGCTTCTTGTTCAAGTTGCCGTTTCATTAGAGCTTCATAATACGCCTTGAGATATTCATCCTGGTAAGTCTTCATCACGTCTTTGTTTTCAGTTACAGGCTTCTTCTCCTCAGATAATTCAACAGCTGTTTTAGTACCATCTTCAGTAACCTCTTCCGTAACCTTTCCGAGCGGTACCTTTGTAAGATTCATGCCTTGATTTATCAACCACGGGGGTATCACTTTCACTCCTTGTGTAGTACTTGTCTCAGAAGATTTAATATTTTCTTCGGCCTTTGGTTTAGAAGGATCAATATTTCCATCAAGATGATCGCTATTTGCTCGATCAGTATTCGCTTGATCAGCTTCCCATGCTAAGAGGCTTCGGAACTCAGGAACAGGCAAATCTTTGACTCGGTAGAGTTGATCTGTCAATGGCTTCAGTTGTGATTCCATCTTCTTGAGCATTGCTTCTAACTTGTCACGCCGTCCTCCCACTACTTGTAGACCAGTTAGTTTTTCACTCTGTACTACAAGTTGTCCATTGCAATTCTCGCAATGGAAATAGTCATCTTCCATAGAAACCAACCGAAAAGCATCCAGCGCAGTATACGTCTTGCCGCAATTTGGACATGAATATTGTTGAACAGTATTCTTGTTGTCAAGTTTATCCTTTAGCAAATTTCTCATGCGATGAAGCCTGTACCTCAAAACATCATACATCTGAGCGTAATCCAAACAACAAAACGATTGGATATGAAACTTGATTTTATCATCTCCTTCTCTGCCCTTTGCTTTCTCTTTCCGATGATGTCGTGTAACCACCTTTTCTGATTCGAGGAAGCTCAAAGTACAGCGTAGTTGCTTCGAGTGCAAGTTCAGGGCCTTTGCCAGATCCTCTTCCTTTACCCATTGCCTCCTTGTTAGTGCATCCAAAACCACCACAGCAATTCCTCGATTGTCAATCCTTCCATTACAGTTCTTGGGCTGATTCTCCCCTTTTGTTGTTGTTATTATATCATCATCGTAAAAAGCCCTAGCCGCCAGCTTCACCAATCGATTAAACGGCGCAATGCTGATTTTATCCATGATAAAGAATCTGGGTTCTTCTCAGAACTCAAGATTCGTCCTAAGTTTCAATAATTCGTTGATTTCCAACACAGCAGAAAGAGATCGAAGGTTTGGGGCTGTTCTTCTCTTTGGGTGATTTGGAAGATAGTACTACGTTTTTCTTTTTCCCCAATACGAGCGATATATGCAAGTAAGGCTTGATTATTATGAATTTATACTAGTCTAGTATTGCAAGAGTTCCTTGTAATTTTTGGATTGGAGTATACTTTCGATTCCAATTTGGATTTATTTTATTCTTAGTCGGCTCACCGTAGGAATCACGCAGTTTCCAATTAAAATTAAAAACAAAATTGAATAAATAGATTACAAATCAGCTAATTAAGAAATTATATTATGTTGGAGCAGAAAGGAAGTGACAAATATTCAGCGTTCGCCTAACAATAATAAAAACCATATATCTATCTCGCCTTGTATAAACACTTTTTTTTTTTTTGGAAAGCCGCACGAGTATCAAACTTAATAAAATTTTTTCCGACAAATTCCGGTGAAGACTAAAGAAGAATTTGGACAACTGTGGCAGCAGACAGTAAGAGAAATACTACAACGCAAAATTCCGGTGTTAGCAAGTAGAATATAACTGTTTTTTTTTTAGTCTCAAGTAAATTGTACAACTTTACAACCTTTCTTAGTTACATAAACTTAACATCACATAAGAACACCTATCTTCTGCAAAAAAAATCTATCAACCTGTTGCTTACTCTTTCTAGCTTGCATCTGAAACTTCCAAAGCAGATCATTTTTCCACAGCTCAAATCTTTCCTGTGGTTTCTTTACTGGCTTCCCAACCCGGTTGTTTCTTTCCGTCCAAACATTGTATATCACTGGATTCAGCCCAGCATGTAAAATTCTTTGCTTCAGTTGATTAAACTTCCAAATTGACAGTACGTCATATGCTCTTAGCTCCTTGATCCTCTTCCTGAACCCAAGCCATTGTTTAAACTTCTGCATCAGTCCTCAGAGTACTTACAGTTGAAAAACAAGAGCTTACCACTGTCCATCTCTTTCTGGCACAAACCACAGAGAGGATTTCTAACATTCATCTGCATTTTCAGAAGTCTTTCTGCAGTCAACAGTCTGTCCATCCAGGCCAACCAACTGATGAAGTTGTGTTTTTGAAGGCTAGACTTATTCCATATGCTCTTAGCAGGATGATACCTCCTTTTAACACCTTGCAACAACTGGTATCCACTGCTGGCTGAGTAAGCTTTGCCACCATTTCCTTGCCACTGATCATTCTGTATTATTCCACTCCTCAATCGGTTTCTGAACTTCATCAATTTCTTTAAGTGCCAATTGCAATCTTGGGGGTGCTTATATTCCCATAGACTCTTTCCTTTCATATAGTAAACATGCATCCATTTCACCCAAAGGCTCTCCTTATTCTTTGCTAGGTCCCATAATTGTTTCCCTGGCAATGCCATATTCCATTTACCAGGCTCCTTTATATTCAGTCCTCCTTCCTTCCTTTACAGCATATATTTTCCCAAGTTACCAAAGCCCATCTCTTTTCATTCTCCTTCTTTCCCCATAAGTAGTTCCTGGAGGCACTAGTTACTTGCTGAATCACACTTTGAGAAATGAGAAATATACTTGCCCACTATTAGAAAAAGGGCATATTGAGGCACTAAAAAATGCCTTATATATTATAGTCTAATACTACATTTAAGGTTTTTTACCACATTTCTAAAAAGTGCCTTTAAATTCAATGTGATTATAGCTCTATATCTATAATGACACTTAAAGTGCCTTGACAAGATAAATATTGTGGCACTAGGAAGTGCCTTCATAACATATATCTAATTACATTATAGTTATTAGGTTAATTCTTTTGGGCTAGTTCAGTTTGGTTTGATATATCCGGTTCATCCATTAAAACCAAATTAATTTTGTTTATTTTTTAATTAAATTTCGGCAAAGTTCAAAAGTAAACATCAATAATTTAAAATCTTTAACAGAAGTAACAAAAGAAGTGAAATAGTTTTATTAATTTCAAAATTCCTCAACAAAGAAATTGCATATAAAACTAATATGTGTAACCAACTTGATCTTAAATTCTTCTAATCTAAGTAGTTCAAAGTCAAAGGTGGGCTTGAGTTGTTCTTGTTCTTGCTTCTTTTGCTCAAAACCATCTAACTTGGCGATAGATGATGGAGAAGGAACTATATATGAATGAAAACCATGTAGTGAACTACGCAGCAACTCTGTTGTAACTTTCAACATGTCCCGTGCTATCCCATGCATAGATCGTTCAAGATTGAGTTCCAAAGTAAAACAAATCCTGAGAAAGTTAAAAGAAAGAGAAATCCATGTAGATACAACAGAATAATATAATTGACTTTATTCAATGATATGAACAAGAATTAGAAACGTACTTGAATGTTCTGTAGCTTTAATTAACTTTCATACCTTGGTTTGCCATTTGTTCTTTCAAGTAGGGGTTTCACTTTCACATCTTCCAGTTACTTGATTCCATGTTCTGAAAGATGAGGAGAAGAAATCAATAAGGATCCATTAAATCACTTGAGAAAATAAGCAAATATGTTATCTATTGTGTTCATTATGGAGAACGTAAAATCAAGAAAATGTCCTATATGAACATCAATGTTAAAATTACGTCTTATTACAAACTATTGAGATGCTCACAAAGGTTGTGGACTGCAAGTCATCAAACCACAAAACACTTGAATCAAAATTGTAAACAATGTAAGTAGTGACTTAGAAACTCGTAAAAATTTGTAAAGAACATTTTTTGAATCGTATATTGCATCTTCCTCCTCAAAGCCCCTTCACTTTCATCCAAATCATGTTTCAAATTTCCCCTGATCATAGAAATAAGTCTCACTCAAAAGCAAATGGTGTTAGCAAAATGAAAGGCACCATTAGGGCCTTCAAAAAAACAACTTTATTAATCTAGTAAAGCTCCAACTGATCACAGGATTATTTCATACACTATGAAAATCTAAATAAGAACTAACTATTAAAGATCCAAATTCCAAACTTCAAATTTCGGTTTTTAGCAGTAGATATTATAATAACTCAAAGATAGAAATCAGAAAATGGGAAAGCTATGTAGAATATCATCGCTACTAATTAATTATCTTAAAACCTAGAAATCTAACCGTATCAGCACTGACTTTCATCATGTTGGGAGGCTTTAGATCAATTTAGCAGCCTTAATACACGAGTCACCGACTTTGGATCTGACAATCCGTCGTCACACTAATCAAATATTAATTACCTAATTAATACAATTACTAGTAGTAAAGTAGCAAATAAGGTCGATCCCACACAGAAGGAATACTAATTAATTACCAGGTATAAATTACTCCTATTATTATCTAAATGATGATCTCAGATTTATAAGATTTAAAACTAAAATAAGTAAATAAAATAAAAACAAATAATATTAATTCAAATAATCAGACAAAGAAAACTTAGGACATTGGGTTCACCTACCGAATATTTAGTTTGATTCAATTCATAAATATCTGACTTTCAACTCCCATTAATCTCACAACGATTCACCTAATTAAGAACTATTCACCATCGTGATATAATTCTCTTACTCTAATTAATCCTATGACTACTGTCGTGACTATAGGAAATAACTAGAGTACATTAAGAACTTAAGAATCTAACGTTGCAAAGGTTGTGTTTCTACTGTTGTGGTTCACTACCTAAGTCCAATATTCCCATGAACTAATATTAATTTTCAACTGTCTTTCCATCAATTAATATCTTTAAACATGCAAGTGGTGGCCAGTTACAAACATGGAATAAAAGCAAGAATATTATATATTGATCAATGGAAAAATCAAATAATAATGAACCAAATAAACCAAATAAATTCGGTGGCTACACCTAAACCCTAGATTAAAAGAATTTAGTCACTAAACATTATCAAAAATAATTCAATAATATTTAGAGACATAATCCTAAAAATTTGAATTAAATAATTAAAACAAAAACAATAAAACCCGAAAAATTCGGCCGAAAACAAAAGCTTTAAATCCCTTGTTTGCTTCGGTTTGGAGGACACCCTTATGTTTCTCTCGGCTCCAAGAAGCTCAAGGTAATGGAGAGGTAATGGCGATGATAAGATAATGATTAAGGAGCTGCTGCTGCGTGGTGGTCAAGGTGGAGCAGCGGAGGGAGTTTTGCAGCGGCAGAGGGGGGCTGTTTTGATGTGAGGGTAGTGGTGTATGGGAATGGAGGGCAACAAGGTGGAGGATGAAGGTGGAGAGAGGGGGCTGCCGGTTCGAGGTGGTGGAGAAGGTTGGGGCTACTGGTCTGAGGTGGTGCGGCAGAGGTTATCAAAGAAGCAAGGTCGAGCAGTGGGAGGAGGGTTGCAGCCGTGAGAGACGACGTGAGTTTTCGGTCAAGTTCTGTTGTAAAGATAAATCCCTAATTCTCCTTTTATAGACTTCCGTCAAAACCCTACTTCTTCGGGAATAAGGAAACTATATTTCTTTCAAGTCAGTTGGAATTAAAACTCCTCCGGATGATTTTATTTGGCCGCCGAAATCAATTCGGAAACCATCTTCTTCGGCAAGCACAATTCGGCCAATTCAAATTCAAAATTCTGAAATTACTTGTTTAGTCCTCCAAATCTTCAAGTGCTTCAATTTCTTCCTTATCGTTATTCAAATCTTCAATTCTACCCTTCTAGTTGCTTTTATCTTCATTTTAGCACAAAACTTCAACAATTCCTCCATTTGAGTACAATTCCTACAATCAAATATAAAATCACATAAATAACACATTTGTACTCAAAATATTGGCAAAATTTCACATAAAGGGATATTAAAAATAGGTATATTATAAGCACATCAGGATCCCCAATTTTCCATCACAAATACGACCATCAAAAGTGCTTGATGAGTTCCTTCGGTGGTCATCTCGTTTAACCTCCACTCTTTGGCATTTGTTTCTTCTTAATTGATTCGCAAAAAGGGGAT